GGGCCAGTGAGAGCAGGACGGAGAAGAGGGCCGAGACGAGGAGGAAGAAGGAGAGGACGTAGAGGAGGGGCATGCAGTGGAAACGCATCTTTGGAGGCTACGCCGCGGTCTATTAACCGCGGGTGTAGGAGAGTGGGTGATACGGGCACGCGTAAGTGAGTGAGTGAGTGATACACACACTCGTTTGAAGTGAGTGAGTGGGTGAGCGGGTGAGTGAGGTCGTACTGAGATGCAGAGGCGCGGACGCGGGGTGTGGGATCCGAGAGGTCCGCGATGCACGGATGAGGCTCCTCTCTCGGGTGAGACGCGGATGACGGAGCTCCTCGCACCTTGTTTGGCTCGCTCGCGGTGCGGTGCTCTGCAGGTCTCCGGCACGGAGAGGGGACCCCCGCAATGTTCGGCAGTAAGTCTTGTTGGAGCCGTTGAAGAAGGGGATATCAAATAAAGGGGGATACGCCTAAGACTCGGTTCTTTGAAATGACGTCCAATTAGGTACACGAGAAGAAGAAATGATGTACAAACAACAAAACCGAATCTCCCGCACTTACTTCTCCCACACACACTTCAGAGAAAGAGAAGGTTCAGGAGGGCAAAGGGCGCGGACATGTGAGGTTCAGATGCTTTTACTGTCGAGGGAGAATGAGAAGTCGAGAGTGAGAATGAGCCTCAGAGCTAGCCGAACGTCACGTCACTGGTTTCCCCCGTTGGAAGTCCGCGCCGTGGCTCATCTTTGGGGGCCCACGTGCGCCGCATGAAAATGAATCGAAGACCGCACCAAAGTTGTTCCGGAAGTGCCTTCGCCTCCGGGCGGGACGCGGGCGGCTCAAAGCGCTCCACCATATTTTTGCGGGTTGTCCCTGAGATTATAGGGGTCATCCTGACATTGAGGGAAGCATATTGAGAAGAGGTTGAAACTTGAAGTAAGTCTTTTGAGTCCATCATGAAGATTACGGCATCGTGTACGACTGTGCCAAGTACAGATGCTAGTACCCATAGGTACGGACATCATATCTCAAAGCCGCTAGCTAGTCGACAGGCGATAAGACCAAGGGATCAGCACATAACGTCCACTGCCCAGGGGCCTACAGGTCACGGCGGTGCATCCGTACAGGCACAGACAGGCCTCTGCCCCGCGTGCGGCATCGGCGGGAACAGCACGCGGCCGATCCTGGCCCGGTCACCGCCGAAACAACGACAGCTCGGCCCGCCAACCAATCCTCAAGTAGGCCTCGGAAAGAAAGACCTTAATTCGGCTCATGATATTGCGGTTTGCTTGCTTTGCCGTCTCTTGTGCTGTCATCGCTCCTTCTGAACCTCGAGAGTATTCCATAGTCCACGAGACTACATGTATTCATCTATCCGGAACTCGAGGAGGTCACACAATGGACAAGGGAAATGTGAAACCCACGCACGGGAACATGCGGTGAGTCGGGCGTGTGACATCACACAAGATGAACAAGAAACAAGGCAAAAGCAGGTTGTTGGAAAACTTGCAAACGCAGCCAGCCGGTATGCCGGCACCCCGGCTGGATGGTCACTGGTCGCGCATGCTGTACTTCTCTCCCCCCACGTTTGTGATAGGCAGGTGGTTGGGACTTGGGACTGTTGGTGGAAGCATATGACTGTCCCCGCGATGCATATCAGCTCTTTCGGCCGGTATGGTACGGAGTACACTGTATTTTCTTCGACCGCAAGATCAGTTTGTGAATGCCGATCGCTGACATGTTTTACCTGGAGGTGTCTCGCGCTATCACGGCTTCATGGTACTCCTGACACTGGGCCCATTTGAGTCCTGCTGCCGCCGCCGCAACCGCCGCCGCCCGACTTGAGTTTCACGCATGAATGATCGATTACAAAAACAACAACCTTTCCAACCTCTCTGTTTTCATCACTGAACCGACCGCATCCCCCGCACGCACGCAGGAAACCCAGTGTTCCAAAAGGCCCTGTCCTGTCAACGCACATATCCGCCGCCTGGCCCCCACCAAGCTCAAAGTCTCTCTCTCTCTCTCCACCGAAAGCGGGCAGTCATCTGCGACTATGCGGACGCGTACATGACGTGACCCGCCGCCTTGTGCTGTCAAAAGATCTGTTGCGTTTTGTTTATTCAATAGAGGTCTGTCGGCATGCCTAGATAACTGTTTGTAAGAAAGATAGACGCGACTCTCTTGACAAGTCTCGATGTTGCTGCAGTGTATCGCGCAGTGGCTGGATGGCGGGGTACGCATGAGGTGGCAACTAGAATAGAGCCCGCTCTCGTAGCATTTCCAGTCAACTCAAACTCAAAGTGACCATGGCGCGATGATATGGCCCCATCGTTGAGACAATGACATCTCACAGTTTTTGATGTCTCCGCCAAAGCGTGCACAGGATAGTGCTTGACGTCAAAATGGCAGCCAGCCAGTGGTCAACATCCAGAGGGTTACAGTTGTGCGGCTGAAAAGCAACTGAAAATAGCTCAACTCTACTATATCAGGAAGCCTTCTCGCCCCCGCTTGAGCGATATCACACTCATAGTTTTGGCAATGTGCCAATGAGTATGATTGGAGGCTCAACCACATCGCCTTGAGACGAAACGAAGGGAAGCGTGGGATAAGCTATTTGCCAATTCTTATTGGATTGTTTGGCGGTCGCAATTTTGACAGTAACGGTTCCACTGCCACCTTGTAAGTTGGCGATACGAGTCTTTCTTCGACACTGACAGGTTATATCGATTTCAGAAAACGCCTTTGCCCTGATAGTCTGTGTGACTGCTATGTAACCGTGATAAATTCTAGGTTTATAGTGATGAGGTTGGATGCTGACAAAGACGGTTGCCTTCCGCCACCTCTAGATATCCCAGTCGAGCATGGCAACTCCATCATGACAGGTTGAAGCTGGGCATCCGAATCATAAAGCAACAACTGGATAAACGGGCTAACACTTCTCTGTTGCCACCTGCCATCAGCACGGCAGAACGTGCCGCGAAGAGGCCCCCCTCCTATAGTCCCAGGACCAGTGGACCACAAGTCAAGCACGTCAACAGCCGCCGTCCCCGTCCCCCGTCCAGCTTCAAGGTTTACGGGATTGAAGTCTGCCTCGCCCTCAAGGCCCGGCATCACGTATCTGGGTCCGTGTTCGCGGCCTGCATCACTAGTTCCCCGTGAATAGGAGGGGATGTTGTAGTCAAACTAGTGCGGCACACGAACCGGATGAAGAGCGGTTCCCATCTTTTGATGATGGGGACGGTGTGAAATGGAAGTGGAGTGAGAGCGAGAAGTATTCGACTATTCGTCGACAACTGGAGAAGAGGCTCCCGAAATCGCCGCCGCTGTTCACTCCGTATTTCTCTTTCCTCAGGGGCCCAGCGAACTCGTCCTGCCTAGACAGAAAGAACCATGTGAGCCTGCGATATTCCCGAGAAACATCTGGCAGCCGAGGGACTTTTGCCGCCCGCGGAAACAATGAAAAGATGAGATGACCCTGGCGAACCGCCGTATGGTAGGTATCCCCCTCCCCCAAAAAGACTTCCCAATTGCCGCCCGACGGCTTCATGTGATCCGTACGAAGAAAGTCGCGCCTCGTATCACCCCAATCTTTTCGCAACAAACCCTACAATCCCTTTCGTATGCAGGCGTCGCGCTGCATACCACCCACCATCAAAGTGTGCAACCACCAGTGTGCCTTCCCACCCACCTCCGGAGAAGGGGAACCGCTCATCGTTCACATTATTAAAGACTATTCGCCAATCGCGCGCAGAGGTCCCTGCGATTTCGACAACAAGAGCCTCCAAGAAAGACCGTCCCCCCCCCCCCCCCCCTCCTCCTTTACATGCAGTACATACACCAGCGTCTCGCTTGGCGGGGCCAAGGCCAAGAGGTGACCAACAGCCGGGACACTGAGACTCCGGGTCTGTTAGTGCGAACGAGTCTGCGATCTCCTTCGCGGTGCCGCCATGGTTTCAATATTTGTAGATAGAGAGATGGTGATACCGTGAGCGGGAGACGTGGGCACGCTGGGATTAGGGGGGTTTCCTGGTGAATGCTTGCTTGGCTGGGCTGGGCTGGGCTGGGCTGGTTAGGGACCCTCCAAAGCTTAAAGGATTGAACAGATTCTCCGTAGACGAGAACAACGACCTTGTTCCTTGTTACGGAGGAAACGCCGCGCCTATCGGGCCTTTGGAAACCGAATCTTGTTTCTTTGCTGCCATCGGTCGATAACAGGTAGGTCCTTGTCAACTTTGCTGCGGTAAGCAGCATGTTCGCTGCCGCTTTCCCCCCCCGCCGCTGCCGACTCCACATCCATTGGAGATGGCTGAATTGACTTTTTGGTTTTATTTTTATTTTTTGAGATCCTTCCCTGGGCCGTGGGCGGATGGTTTTCCCTGCGGAAGCGATTCGGCCTGCTTGAGATGACAACTCCGTCCGTGATCGAAGGGTTTAATTGTTTAGCAAAGTGCACAACACACAGGAAGCAATATAGCAACTCAGGCCTTGCGTCAAAAAGGGAAGCCAGGAGCAAGAACATCTGGCAATCGACCCCGCGGAGTTGCGTCCCCGTGCATACGCCTGTGTAATAGGCCTGGTGAGGAGAGAGAAAACCAGCCCCCGGATCCGGCGCCGCGTTCGCGCATACGTTCTCGCGGCACGAGGCCCGATTCGTGCCGAAATGGCGTGGCCTCTATGGCAGGATTGGTCCCCTCTTTCTTTCGGGAGGGTTTTGTTTATCAGATGCAGATGCAGATGCAAACCATGAGGTTGGTGATACGAAGTCGATGCTCGTCATGTGGTGGTGAGGTGAATTCATGCCTGCGCTTAGTCATAGGATGTCAGGCTAACATGATGTTGGCATGAGCACACTGCCCGCATGGCGTGCCCGACTGTCAATGTCATGTTGCGATGCAGGTGAACCTTGTCGGAATCTATTGTAGGGCAGGCTGGGCAGCTGAGATATCATATGAGTGAGTATCTCGTCGAGGGTCGGCGTCATTCGTGAATGGATCCCGGTCTCGATCGGAAGCTTCAGGCGGACGTGAACTTGAAAGTTTTCGGCGTTCCGGGGTGGGATGGATGGGCGACGGGGAATATCGTGGCACCCGTTCTATCGTTCCCCAGCCATCCGGCCTTTTCTTCTGTACCGTGTACGGAGTAGAAGAGTACCGAGTCGAAGGGAGTGTTTATTTCTCCGGAACCCCCCAAAACAGATGCACCAAAACTGCTTGTGGCGGGGTTCTGGGAAACAAGTGCCGCAATATTCTGCTCTTTGCTCGGGTGGCGCACCTGGAATGATGTTTCGAGATTACCATGGTACTAGAAGTTAAAACTTAGAAGCTTGCCCACCAACCCCCCTGCGGCTTCGGTTGTCTGGATGCATGCGACCATTGCCACGAGCGTTGCCGAATGGGGGTTTAGAACCTCCCAACATGCCCATGGTAATGGACTCACCAGGTTCTCTTCAGTCTTCACCACGTTGGTACTGGTAGAAGCCGCGGTACCGAGCATTTCGTCCGGTGTTTCTTTCTTTGCGACGGACGATAGCTTCGATTTGTCGTACATGGGATGCAAAGAAACTGGAATGACAAGCGTCTGTATCCAAGGCAGAATGCCTCGGAGGGTAGTAGTGGCAGACTCGCTGCACAGAAAGCGGCCAAAGAGCCAAAGCAGCATGACCAAGTCGGTAAAGCACTGCCGCATGTGTTTGGCGCCGGTGCTTCTGTCCTGAGAAGGGGAAGGCTCGACGATGCTCACAAATCAAAATCAATGGTTTCCAAAGGGCAATAGGGGGCATACCCCTTTGCAGCAAGAGGGCAAGGTACGGTAGTCAGGGAGAGCGTTGAGGGTGTAACCTGATGCGGCGGCTCAAGCCATGAGGGGCTTTTTCAATGGTAGCGGCAACGCTAGAACGCATTTCGTCGCGGTGCTATGCTGTTATCAGCGCGCCAGGCGAGTACGCGTATGGTGAATTTGAATAGGTGTGTTTATCGGGTGTGAGTGCGGGCGGGAACGTGGGACAGCAACAGTTCCATGACGAGAACAACGACGGACACGACCCGGCTGCTGAACTGTCTCTGCAGATGATGAATGTGACCTAGTATCTGGTAGACTGGTGTACTCCGTACTCCGTAGATGAATCATGGACGTGAGCCGAGACCACCATCAACGACCTAGTGAGGTAAAGTATCATATAGTAGACATGTTATTAATGCCGTTTGCGCCCCCGAAACTACCGGCGGCCCCGGCCATGGTGTTCCTGCCCTCGTATAGAGTGACTGCGTGACTGCAAGCAACATGGGGAATGGCTCGCGAGAAGAGACTGAGAGCCAACTCGTGACCGGGGAATGAGCAGGACCTCAACGCCGGATGAGGATAAGACAAGCAGACGGTAGCAACCGGCCAGCGGGAAGGATGCGAGAAGAAGCGAATGCTGATGAAGTGAACTCCGACCATAGACCTGGTGTCATTAGTATGATATGAGTACAAGTGACATGAGGCATTCTCGGAGCAGCAACAATGGCCCCAAAGACCGAGAATCAAGATCAGACAGACGAAACGTGGCCGCCCTGCACGCAAGAACAAGGAAAAGGTGAGATATCCGCAAAGCAAATGTCAATGTGGAGGTTCCTGTCTGATGGTGGATGCATTCACGACTCAGACATTTCTTGGGAACAATCAACAGAGTGGGTGGAATAAGATAAGCAACAAGATTGAAGGGGTTGATTTAAACGTCAAGAGGTCCAACCACGTTGAGGCTTCGGGATTCCCCGAAGCCGCGGGAATTAGACTGCACTCAAGGCTCAAACGTGACGCTGCAGCGCGTATTTCCGACATCGTATGCATCAAGGTATTGTGTGTGTTGTTCTGTGTTGCCTCACTCGAGGCGGATCGAGTATCCAATCACCCATCCCTCACCGATTGAATGAGCGAATGAGTGAGAACAATGGCGGGCGGTAAAGCAAAAAAAAAAAAAAAGGATGTTCCAAAGTTGGCAGTGTAAATTGGATCCGTGGAGGCGCCCACCCTTGCTTGTGTCTGGTGTTTTAGCGACGAGATCATCGCTGTGGGGGGAGAACTCTGTCGCTGTTCCAGCGCTTGGCTTCAGCTGGTGTTGCGCCGGGAGTTTTGGGTTATTTGGAGCTGGAGGTTTTTGGGGAAGGGGAAAGGGAGAGGTTTTGGGTTAGAGACAGAGACAACCGCTGAAGGCAGCTGAGAAGATGTCGGGCTGCAGCAAGGAATGCAGGCATCATGCCTCTTGGGTAAACATGTCTACGGATACCTAGTTTATGTTGCCAGGCACGGCACAAGCGGCCAGAGAGACATGTATGATGTATCCATCCGTATCGCTGTTTTTTTATGTTGTTTTTGTGCCAGATCCACCTATCATCAAGCAGAGAAACGAAAGAAGGCAAGCGCTTGCTGGTCTGTGCTTTATGGAGCTTGATAGTGGAGAGTGATGACATTCAACATGGGCTCAGGGGGACAGGGGTGTGCTAAGAGCAGGGGGAGAGGAGCAGGGGGTTCTTGGAGGTGCATCTTGGGAGTGACAGATCATCCGTCACCCATTCGAGTCTCTCACTCAAGTCCGAGACTCTTCGATGGAGGAAGAAAGATGAATGACAGACTGTTCATCGTGGACAACGACAAGAAAGAGGGAGTTGGCGGCGGTAATAAACGTTTGGCTGCCGCCGCGATGCCTGCCGCTTAGACAGCATTGATGGGATTGACAGACTCTCAGTCATTTCGACACGGCCGCGGAAGGAACGCAAGATTGAGATTGACGGACGCCGCGTCTGCTCATCCACTCACACAACCGCATCGTTGGTTCGTTATCGGGCACTTCTGTCGGTCCGTCCGCACGCTGCGTTTGATTTGGATGTTCGTCGAGACCCCTGCAAGCTCGAATACTGTGCGCTACGCACGAAGCCACAGCCAGTCTAAGCTACATCAGGTCGAGCTCGGGATGGATGCACCGGGCGCGCGCGAAGCGGGACTCCTTGGGCTGTTCTGCTGTGACTGGGATGTCGTGTCGACCTCGGTGGGGGGTTTATGAATTTGGCATCTCTCTCACTGATTGTCCGTCAGATGGAGATGAGTGCGTCTCTACGGTACCCCCATGCTCCCTTTACGACTACCTACTAGACCATCTTTAATAAGCGGTTTTATATATAACTATATATATAGGAAATATAAATAATCTAATTATGCCCTAATTTTATAACGTGGTTTACCAGTCAGCCGCGCATATCAGTCAGCCGCGCATTTTCTTATTGTATACTAAATTGCATATTTACCTAATTTCTTTAAATAATAACTAATTAGAAAGATTTCAGTATCTTCATACTTAGAATATTTACTAAAATTCTATAACTTATACTTGATTAGTACTATAAGAGTTACGTACTTAAGGAGTTACATGGTAATAAGAGGCTCAATGTTACGCCTGCCGCAACTTGTCACTATGAGCGCGTAGCCACATAACGCAGAACAAGGGAAAATGATGCGGAGTCATCATTATCGAAGCTTTTGCTTTGTGCCACAGTTGGTTGCCTTGACCTGCTCGTAACACTCAACCGAAGTACGTATCTACTGAGATACAACGCTTTGTACGCACGTACAGCCTGTACGTTAATACGCTTTACATATACATGTTAAAGCGCCAACAGGCACATATGCCCGTATAAACTTAATGCTCGAACTTAAGCATCACATGTGATTACATATAATTACATGTGATATTTATATTATATATAGACTACACTTTCTCACCATAACATAGACTAAGAGGTTATAGGTAGGCAAAAAGGGAAAAGGTAAATAAGTTGAGATACGAGTTGGGATAATCAGAGAATCGATTGTATTGATGATTATTCTATGATATGGTGGGAAAGTGTAGTCTATATATAATACAAATATCACATGTAATCATATGTAATCACATGTAATCACATGTAATCACATGTAATCACATGTGGTGCTTAAGTCCGAGCATTTATTATTAAGTTTATACGGGCATATGTGCCTGTCGGCGCTTTAACATGTATATGTAAAGCATATTTACGTTCGGGCTGTACGTGCGTACAAAGCGTTGTATCTGAGTAGATACGTACTTCGGTTGAGTGTTACGAGAAGGTCAAGGCAACCAACTGTGGCACAAAGCAAAAGCTTCGATAATGATGACTCCGCATCATTTTCCTTGTTCTGCGTTATGTGGCTACGCTCTCACAGTGACAAGTTGCGGCGGGCGTAGTATTGAGCCTCTTATTACCATGTAACTTCTTAAGTACGTAACTCTTATAGTACTAATCAAGTATAAGTTTTAGAGTTTTAGTAAATATTCTAAGTCATAGAATAATCATCAATACAATTAATTCTCTGATTATCCCAACTCGTACTTCAACTTATTTATCTTTTCTCTTTTTGCCTACCTCTAACCTCTTAGTCTTTTAAATATTAAATCTTTGGGGTATATAAATTAAATATTAAGAACAAATATAAAAAAGCTCAGCTAAATAACAAGTTAATAGATCTAATAGTCATACATAATTAAAATAACAATAAAAGCGTGTTTTTTATTAATTTATTAATTTACTCTTATATAAGTTAACTTATAAAATAATTAACTTTATTATTCATTAATATAAAATTAAGATTAAAGCGAATTACCCTGGCTAGCCCGTAAAATAATAAAGCCGCTGACTAGAGATAGTCTAATAGATAGGCGCAAAGGGAGCATGGGGGTGCCGTAGAGACGCACTCGATAGAGATAATTAATCCCCCTGCCGTAGGGCAGTTTAGAGAGTCAGGGAAACCAGGTCCAAGTTGGCGAGGACGGCGAAGGGTCGGCGAGCATCATATGGGCAAGGCGAGAGTACCGTAGTCCCTTCTTATTGACTTCTATTCGCACTTTGCCTCCTCGTTGCGTAAGTTGTGGTGTCGTGAGGAAATGCTTGTTATGCAATTCGACACAAGTGGCATAGTCGGTATATCGCTCTCTGTATCTTTGTTAGCTCGCGGCTTTCACAAGACAGGCAGGAGGCGCAATTGCTCCTATCCCAATGGCAGGGCTCATGGCCGGACGGCCGTCCACTGATCCGGATTGGATGCGAATGCAACGGTGAAGTTACAACGTCGTTACACACATACTTGGGTACCATGTGCGTGTGTGCCAGTGTGGTGATGGTCTTTGATATTTCTTCTGGCGTCTCTTAGTATCCGTAGCTTTAGGTGTTATGGGGGGCACGCGTCCACGTATCAAGGCGGCTGTGGTTTGTCGCTGAGCATGTTCCATCGACCGCCACCATCGCCGAGTTTGTCTCTGGCGGGCCATTCGCAAGCTTGCACGCGGGCGTAGCGCACAACATGCGAGAGGATGATCCACTGGGTCATGCTGTTGGGTTCTCAGCTGTCGTGTTCCACTCTGATACTCCGTTCTTGGAGAGAAAGACATTGCCATTGGCACACCCAATCGGATGAAGAATGGGATGGCCTCTCTTTTTTGGGTGCAATTGAGATGGAAATGGGAGCGGAAGTAAGAGAAACACACAGAGAGGAGAGAGAGAACGTGATCGAGGTGAGCTGAGGTGAGTGTGTGGTGGACAGTGGACTATGGACTTTGGAAGCAAGAGCCACCCCCGTCCTGGTTCCTTCCTGGTCCTGGTCACAATCAAATGGGGTCGTATACTTCCTGCCTGGTCCTGGTTGATGGCCCCGCTTCAGTCACGTCAAATCCACCTTTTTCTCTATCCTTCTGCAAGTTCCAACCACCCGCCCATCGGGCTTTCCAAAGTTGCAACTTGCTGGTGCTGGTGGCAGGTGCTTCCAGTGTCTGCGTGCGTCGTTGTTGGCTTTTGGTGGTCGTTGCTCGGCTCGTGCTCGCCTCATTCGTCTTGCAGGCAGTTGCCATCTCCATCCCAACTTCCCAAGAAATCCACACCATCACCGTCTCGTCCCTAGCGTCTAATCCCTTTCCCCCCTCGTCCTCCTCGGATTTCCCAATTGTGCCATTCTAAATTTCTACTGATACTCCCCATGCCAATTCATGATCATCCACGGTATCCGTAGTCACCGTGACACCCCCCCAATCCCTAGGTACCTTTTTCTCGCTCCCAGAAAACAACCCGCAGCCGTGACCTGGCTTCTGCCTCTTTACCTGTAACTCGTCTTCCTTGATCCACCTTCTTTTTCGATATTGGAATCTTTTCTCTTTCTCTCTTCTTCCTTGCCTGTTCTTAAGCCTACGGTGTGCCTGCCTAGCTAGACTCCATTCGTTTTCCTCGGCTTTTTTGTCATTATCGTCAACTGATTCATTCTCCTCCGTACGGAGTATTCCCAGTGTTCCCACCGCTCTCCGCCTCCGCCTTCGCACCTTTGTCTCTGTTGGTGAACTTGGTGAAGCCAGCATCCCCCGGCAAAAGCGAAAGAGAGACACAAATCTCTCTGTGTTCGTACCTATTCGTACAGAGAGGGAATACACCACCACCACCACCACCACAATCGCTTCGCTGCAGCTCTTGCCTGCACCCAGTCTCTCGTTTCCCTTCCCGGCCCTTGCTTGCTTGGGTCTTGGGTCTTATTCCTAGCTCCTGTTGCTGCTAGCCTGCTGCATTTACCCTGCTGCCGATGCCGTTGTAGCTGCAGATACCAGTTAATACCTTACAAATTGCATTCTGCGTGCTGCTGCTGCTCGGCACCAACCACCAATTCCACCTCACTCGCTTGTCCACTTTCTTCCCTGGCCTTGCCTCCTTCCCTTCGCTTCCCTCCTCTTGGCGCCTGCTTCTTTTCTACCCGGGGCTGCCTGGCCATCACCACTTCTCCAACATCACCCTCACTTCACCTTTTTCCGCCACACCTTCTCCTCCTTCCCTCCTCCTTGTCCCCTCCCCCAACCGGACCGCGACCAGATCCCAAGGTCGACAACCTCCTGGACGACAAGACAGCATCAGCCCTGACTGATTGACAGACCCTGCGCATCCTTTACCCTCAGGCCACACCTTAATCGAGGAAAGAAGGACGCTGTTCATTATTAAAAGAAGGAGGACCATAATTATACTCGGACTCTTGCGCACCCGGTCGTCTCGTTGCTCTTGTCTCAAAAGGTCCCCAATTCTTATCCTCAATCATCACGCTAGTTGTCTCTAGGGGCAATCATCTCAGTCACTGGTCGGTGCTTGGCTACTCTCGGCTGCCAGTAATTATTCGCCGCGTTCACTTGGGCTTTCACATCCGAACCCTTTCGCCCTCTTTTCCCATCCACACTTGGCGCCAACAAATCTTGTACCAAACGCCACGGCCCGGCCTGCTTACCTTCTTATCCTCTTTTTTCTCACTCTCCCGGCTTCAACTTCGTTCGAGTCGGCACGTTCTTTGCGGCTTTCTCGCTCCCAGCTCCAAGCAAGAAGAATCGATCCCCGAGATTTGGACCAGCTGTAGACGAAAGTCAAGGTCCTCGTCGACGACTCCTGCGGTCTCCCGCTTGCCTGCGTGGTCGTGTAGGACAGGCACAGCATCTTACCTTTGGGAGCACCTTTTAACCTTTCCTCCCGCCGCCCACCGACCGATCCAGACGTCAGATGTCAGCCCCGTGAGCGTCTGACTATAGCAAGTGTGAGTCCAGAGTCCTGAGAAACCCAGCCATTGGCCCCGAGGTTATGTTGTGAACCTAAAACTACCTCTACCCCCTCAATCTTGAATGTTTATGCTGACCGAAAATCTCTCAGTACAATCGTCCACGGAGACGTAGCTATCATGACTTTCACCGAACGAACGACGAGATGCTTGGGCATCTTCGCCTTGGCGCTATCATCATGGGCGACGATGGCACAGGCTGCGCCAGAACCCGAAATCCTCATGCCTCGACAATTGACGCAGAACCTCTGCTCTAATACGAACACGGCCTCCATGAGCGCAAGTATGTTGTAACCTCACAAGGAGACATGATATGGCAGCACTGCCCGAGGCTTTCAACATCCTCGACCAGCGCTGTTTTTCGTTTCCACTACCTAGCCGTACACAATAGCTAATTTATCTCTCTAGACCTCAGCACGTGGCAGACGAATGGACTTTGCACCGACTTCTGTCGAGACAAGAACTATGCCTTTGCCATTGTCCAGTGGCAATCCTGTTGGTGCTCTGATGTCGCGCCGGCCGCGTCCAGCGAAGCTGGAGTCAGCGACAAATGCAACGACATCTGCCCCGGCTACGATATTGAGCACTGCGGCTCGAGGCCCAACTACTACGGATACCTGACGCTGGCAAAGACTCCTACCAGCACTGCCGGCAGCGGAGGTGACAGCTCGTCATCGTCCAAGGCAGCGGCCAGCACTACCGCACAACAAGTGAGTACACTCCCCTTCGCCATGTATCGTGAATTGCATGCGTGATTCTGCGTGATCTCCACCCACTACACGATCCCGATCCTCATCCCCAGACTCCGTCGTCTCACCTCCACCACGTGTGATGCCTTGGCTTAATCGTCTGGAAACCAGGCATCCCCGGCCCCGCCTGCAACAACCGTACAAATCATCACACAAGTAAAAACTGAGACAATTCAGAACACAGTCACGCCCGACCCGGAAACGACGACGACGTCAACAACAACTGTATGCTCTCAAAAGTCCCAACAACATGCCGTGCCCGTAAACCTGCATTTGATAAATGAGGGGGTGTGTCACTGGCACGAGCAAACGCTGACTGGAATTCTAGACTTCGAGTAGTAGCAAACCGAGATCGACGGTTCAAACGGTGACAGCCGATGGAACCGTGAGAACCATCTTCGTCACGCCGACTGCGACGGGGACCGAAGGAGCCACAGGGGCTCCCGAACTGACGCCCGGGAACCAATCATCGTCAAATGGACCCAGCACCGGTGCTGTTGTTGGAATCGTGGTCGGTGTTATTGCCGCGGTCGTGGCCATTGCAGGACTGGGACTCTTCTTGTTATTCAGACGTCGGAGACAACAACAAAACGAGAATGACAAGTACGACGAGCCCAGCCACCGGGGTAGTTCCGCCGGCATGACCGGCTCGCCACGAAACCCCGAAATGGTTGTTACCGTCGATGGAGGACGATGGGATCCCGACGCCTCAAGCGACCATCGCCGAAGCCGCCTTCTCGCTCACGACCCTCGCCTGGACCCTCTCCCGAGAGGTCTCTACGTGCACAACAAGAGTGCAGAGAGTATTAACACCCTACGCGACGACCAAGATTACTCCCGCAAGGTTCACCAGCCGGTTTTGCGGGCGACCAACCCGGATCCTGACACTTGATGAAAGTCGATGGAACAATCGGGCGGACCAAGACGACGAGATGTCATGCACTCGTTTACGACGTACACGAATTCGGTCCAGGTACCAATTTTCGGTATTCGCATTGCGTTTTTGAGATACCAGGACGGCGTTTCCATTCATTTCACGACTCTGCATAGAAGGATCCTGGATTGGGGGCCCTCGCGGCAACACCGGGTGTGATAAGGTCGACCAGTTAAGATCGACATCCGCCGCAGTACATTATGAGCATCAGGCCACCGAGCACGAACACGAACACATCACATGGGCAACACGAACGCAGGGGACGACGGCTGCCATAATTTCGATTCTGTATCTCCTCCTTTCAACTGGTGGTTTGGGCGTCGACGACAGCCCACAGGCGAAGCCCAAAATCGGCGGGTTATCGTTACTAGGCCGAGCCCAGTGATCATAGACGAAGAGCCCTGCTTTCCCGGTACGAGAGTCGAGGTACGACTCTTAGCCCCTCAGGATATAATGATGGCGGCATTTGTACATACACGAGCGGGCCATGAGCCAACAGCGAGACGACTCAGAAGTCGACAACGGTTGGATGGGCGAGATTGGTTACAAATGGTAGCGGTTTTGGCACCATTCCTCTTTCCAATGGGCACACACTTATGGGTGACGATGCATCCATGACACGTAATAGAGTGAACCGGGACTGCGGATGTTGCACGAAGCTGGTCGAGCTGAGCCCAAGATGGAGACATCACGTCGAGGTTGCAGACTGTGCAGCCTGTCACCGGATGTCTTGGGCGACCAAACAGGAGACTGTGCACAATGGTCACTGGAGCGAAAGAAAAGTTCTATAGCTAGTTGCGACATTCAATCATAATCACAATTGAACGCGTACAGATGATGTATGTCTACGCCATACGGTGTACAACAGGCAAGTAATGACCATGAGTCTCGCGTGAAAACAACCGCCGCTGTCTCGGGCACCCTCCTTCTCGCTGGATCGGACCGGGGCCGGCAAAAAAACAAGGCTCGGGGGACTCAATTGTGTGTGCGTATCGGATACGGGAGTACGGGGATAGACGCTGCAACGGTGGACGGAGCACATGTTGAATCATGGCACGAATGGCAACGAATGGCTATGAATGGGCACAGGGCATACAGGGCACAGGGATTCGGACTCTTGCCAACTGCTTGTGATTGTTCGCGTAAAAGCCTGCTCCAGTGTTGGCCCAGTGTTGGAGGACAAGGTTGCCGAAGGATTCTGTTTGTGCGTGTGTGTGTATCTTAACGCTTGTGTGTTACTGAAAACCTAGAGTCTATGGGATAGTTGTGTAGAGGGTGGTGGAAGATGGAGGGTCGGAAGCCGTGCGGATAGGTTAGCGGCCGGGGGGCGGAAGCAGGGCGCGGTCGATCGCAACTCTTGGATGTGGAGATCTTTTTTTTTTTTCATCAAGTGTACAAGTACGGAGGAACAACAGAGATTGGTTTCATCATTAGAGCCTCAGACTGTAGGAGTCGAGAGGCAGTGTTTTCTTTGGAGTGTGTAAGTGTTGGAGGCGCGTGCCTGCGTGTTGATGTCATTGGTAATTTTGGCGTCAAAGACTCGAGAGAATTTGGGCAGGTAGGTGGACGTGGTTAGGTGCTGCTGTTTCATTAGATTCAGGTGGGTGTTTGCGAAAAAGCTTAGCGTTCATGTCGTTTGGATGGGAGAAGGAGGTGGAGGGATTTCGGAGTGGGTATGATCTGATTATCTGGATTCTGGATTTCGGGGGGTGTGTGGAATGAATGGAGACCGTAATTGCGATTGATACGGGAAATACGGATACATTTCACATGCCTGGCTGTTGCTGACTGTGGGCTGTCGGAGTTGATGGTTGATTTACAGCAAAGTCCGGTCTACGTTCTGTCGTAGTGACAGACGGGACAGGTTAGTAGGCTGACCTAGTTGATGCTTAACAAGAGGACGTGATCTGATGATTCCATGTGTATGTTGGGGTTTGTGTTGCTGGTTTCCTGTGTAGTGTAGATCTTCCCCTTTTTCCTAGTATTTCGGATCGGAGGTTTGAAATGAGGCTCAATCGAAGCCGCTGGACGGAACGGACTGGCGTCATGCGCGAAATAGTATGCAGGATTCGGAGCGGACTGGCTGCACTAGAGCATTAGTCTCTTGATGATCCGACGCGTTCCTTCGCGGGTCGCTTCCAAAAAAGGAGGCGTCGATGGTGGCACTATCCTCCCCCCCCTATTTCACGTGAACAATCGAGTAGGTACTATGTAGGCGTTTGGACTGCACTGAACATCCTATGGCGATTTAGAGGCGTCCATGTTTAAGTGGGATAAGCATACTTCCATCGAGCGTGGGAGCGAGGGAGGATTTTGGGGGCATCGATGGAAGGCTGCATGTTTCGAAACAAAACTGGATGACGGGGGAGGAGGGGGAAAAGTCATTTGGGGCTTTGGGGCTGAACAGTGGTGAGATTGTTGTTCGAGATGGGGGCGTTTTAGGTTGGTGGTACAAAGTCGCAGCCGAAACTGAGTTTCGGGAGTGAGAGACATTGAGCATAGGTAAGGTAAGATGAGAAGGGGGAATGAATACCTACCGAAACAAACAAAGGGCCACGAACAACACATGTAATGAATGGCACGCTGCATGCGTTGTACAGGATATGCTGTTTGCTCGTTGGATCATGAAATATGAAGAAGGGAAAGGACTAGGGGGGGATGATTGATGGGAGAGAAATACGCGGTTGGTATCCGTATACGAGTAATACGAGCCGGCAATGTTGGGTTGACTCGTATTTTTTTGATAGAGAGGAGAGCAAAATGAGATTGACCTGGAATTGCGAACCACGGTACTGTCGGCCAGGGCTGTATGGTATACGACGACCGCGCCTCAATTGTGGCTGACGATGTGGGAATAGCCTCAATCTCATAGGCCTGGCCAGAGAGTATTTTGAGATATCCGTAGATGGGGAATTTGTCTCCGTACGGCGGACGGCGGATGGGTGCGCGGAAAGTGGGATGTCGTCGCGTCTCCAGCCTGGAGTCCAGGAAGAATGGAACATGGGGGCGGGCTTGGCATGTTGGCATTGACTTTTTTTCTGCTTCGTCGTCGTGGTCCCGGAGCCGCGGTACTCAATATGAGTGAGGCAGAATCACGATGCTGGGTATGTATCCGTAGCCTGTCCGTACGAATTGGTAGGTAGTGGAAAATGTGAACGTACTTTCCTCCCTCGATTTTGTTCCTGCATCGGGTTTCCCCCGTTCTTTGGGAGGCCTGTGACATCGCATCTGTCAGTCCGTCCGGTGTTCGTCTCATTGCGATGGGCCGTGTGTTTGATCTGCCGCTGGCGGCGCGAAGGAGAGTTTTGCTGTGCAGGCGACAGAAGAATTGCTCGGACGAAAAGAATGACGTTGATCGAGTGCGCTCGAGGTTGATCGAGGTCGAGTCCCTGCATCAGTGCATTGGCGGGCGAATCCATCGTGCCGCTGTGCGTGCGCACCCGCTGCACATCCGCGGTGGTCGTATCGGGGATTTTTGCAGCGGATGAGAGTGCTTTTATTGTGCTATTCGTTCAAGCCTTCGAACATGGTAAATAGGTGCTCCGTCGGTAGGGATCGAATTTTTTTTATCTGCTCTCCTTCGTTTCCGAATTCTAAAACGCCGCGCGGGAGGGACAAGATTTGAGGAAGGGGTGCCAGGGAAGGGGGGGAGGTAGCCCGGGTGTTTGGCGTTGGATCCCTGTTCATAGCCCGACGCAGTACGGAGAAAAAAAGATTGAAATAAGAGATGGTAATGAGATTGCCCCGTACGAGTGACGCGTTCACATTTGCCCCTACGACGTACTCTCGAGTCTCAAGAAGATGTTGATTTTACAATGTTGGGAAGTGTGGCGTAGCGTAGATGAGCCGGTAAGGTAGGTACCTAAGGCAAGGCAGATGATGCTGCAAATAGATGCCTTCGGTAACCGGCACTGATCGCAACGAGGCGGTGACGCTCTTTGCATTGAAGCATCCGATGTTGGTCGATGGAGTTGCTTTGGTGATTTGAACATTGATGCTGTCCACGCCGCCACGGCTGTGTGTACTTGGTACGGCTGAGCAGCCCCAAAGGCCCCAAAAAGTCGAGACGAAAGGGCCATGTGAAGGGAGAACCCCTGAAGGGCGGCGCTGTGTTGTGCCGGAGGCGGGAGGGATCTCGTTGCTGACTGGATGCCGCCGTCGTCAGCGGCCCTGTAATCTTAGCGCGTCCGCTCCGTTTGACCCTTGGCACAGCCACTTGGCAAACGGCCCCGGACTCTTTTGCCTTAGGTAATGTGCCCTCCCCCTACGAATACCCCTGGTCCCCTACCAAGCACCCAAGCCAAGTTACCACAGCTGCAGGAAAGAAGTGACTCTCTGTGGTGCTTACCTCCTGACGGCTGTATGTCTCTCGCCAATTTCCCCCAAGTGCCCCCCTCCTCCAAGTCTGCGCTTTCGTCATTCTTCTTCCCTCCTTCCAAACCCTTCACCACAACGGCCGTTCTCCTTGGTGCGCGTCTACTCTTCTGATTCTACCTTATTCTTCTTTTTTGCTTCTTGGCCGTGAGCATCTCCTCCATCGATTAACCGGACTACCTTCTTCATATCCGCCTGTATTTTATTCAACGTCACTCCCGATAACGAAGACCGAAACGATACCCCGAACCCTGACCAACGACCAAGAGCAAAATCCCCAGCTGTAATTGCGCGACGGACGGCTAATTTTTTTGTGGAATCTTACAAGAGGAGGATCGACGTGCGACTACATTACTGGGCACGAACTGGGGAAAGACATCCCCTTCGAACCACTCGACCACGATCCTCTGGCACCCACAGAAACACACGACTACATACTCATCAGAGAGGGAGAGACACGGCGCGAATTGAAGGGAGAAGGTCACTTGAAACGGTAGAATTATAACGAGGAAGCCATCCCGGAATACGACTTCGTCAGTCTTGATTCGAACATCGACGTTTCCTCTCCTTCGCGAGCCCGTTGCGACCACGCGACCCGCCCAAACGCAGTCCAGAGCCACGAGGCGACCAAGCTCTGCCAAGACCGGCACCCGCTCTGTTCCTGCAGCGCACCAGTCTTGGCACAACCGTTAAACCCCAACCCACCGCCCTTCATCCACACCGACATCGTCATCGTCTACTCCGTTCCACGCTGCTTATATTCTTCTCATACCGCGCTGCTATACTCTCCGGGCCTTCTGTTCCGTACACCAACCCTCGTACGCCGGAGGTCACCCTCGGCACGGCGCTGAGCTGTCGTCACCATGAATCTAACGTGTAATTCAACGCTCGAGGAGCTGAGGAGTATGTCACTCGACCCTGAAAACCCCTAATCCAAGTTTTTTGTGAGACATCAACATCATGCAAGAAAGCTAACAGACCTTCCTCTCTCTGTCAAGTCCTCCCCGGCTCCGAAATCCTCATCGCTGGTCCCCTGACCTTTCACGACCTAGCCCTCATCATCGCCGGCTCCTGCACCATCATCGCGATATGCCTCTCCTTCTACCTCGTCTTCATGCACTCCATCAACTACACCAAGCCCCGCGAGCAGCGCCAGATCATCCGCATCCTCTTCATGGTTCCCGTCTACGCCGCTTCCTCCTTTCTCCAACTTTGGTACTACTGGCACGCGGTGTACTTCCAGCTTATGAGTGACTGCTACGAGGCCTTCGCCATTGCATCCTTCTTCTCCCTCATGTGCCACTACCTCGCCCCAGATGTCCATACCCAGAAGGACTACTTTCGCAATCTTTACCCCATCAAGCCTTGGGTCTGGCCCCTCGACTGGTTTGCAAAGTGCTGCGGAGGAGAAAGGGGACCTTGGCGCACGCCCAAGAGCGGCTTGACCTGGTTCAATGTCATCTGGATCGGTGTCTACCACTACGTCTTTATCCGCGTCGCCATGACTGTCACGGCCGTCATCACGCAATATTTCCAACGCTACTGCGAGAGCTCAAACAACCCCGTATTTGCTCACATCTGGGTATGCTTGCTTTGCCCCCTGAACCATCTGTAGTAAGCCTTCACTAACAGAAACAGGTCATCTCGATCAACTGTGTGGCCGTCACCATTGCCATGTACTCCGTCATTCAGTTTTACGTTCAGATGAGAGAACCTCTCAAAGAACACTCGCCCTTCCTCAAGGTCCTTGCCATTAAGCTTGTGGTCTTCTTCTCTTTCTGGCAGGTCACCTGCATTTCCCTCGCCACATCTACACTCGACCTTGTCCACCCGAACGAAGTCCTCGCCTACCCGGACATCAAAGTCGGCATCCCCGCCCTTCTCTTGTGTTTCGAAATGGCTCTATTCGCCCTCCTTCATCTTTGGGCCTTCCCCTACGCCCCTTACGTCCCAGGCGCCAAAACCACATACTACCCGTCCGCCGACTCCCGAGAC